TCCTGATTTTGTACGCTTTAGCTTTAGTAAATAAACCCCACAGTGTTGCACATTAATCAGCTAATTAACTCAAAACACCTGTAAAAAGTTTCCTGAGCCTTTAAATGGTCTCTAATGCAGGCCATAGATGGGTCGAAAATCGGCCGATTTGTCGGCCGAAAATAAAAATCGCCCGATTTTCGGATCGTTAGTGGGCGATTTGGTCGGCCGTTTTTCGGTATTTTGGCCGTTTTTGTTTTTCGGTAAAGTTGGAAAAAAATCGGCCGATTTTGCCGATCGGCCGATTTTCGCATCGATTTTCGCGGCAATTAGTGGGCAAATCGGCCGATTTTTTACCGATAAAAAATCTGCGCATGAGCAGTGACCTGCAAGAGGAAGACAAAAAGAAGAAAAAGAGGAAGAGGATGAAGAAGAGGATGAAGAAGAAGAAGAGGAAGAAGAGGATGAAGAAGAAGAAGAGGATGAGGATGAAGAAGAAGAAGAGGATAGAGGATGAAGAAGAAGATGAGGATGAAGAAGAAGAGGATGAGGATGATGATGAAGAAGAAGAGGATGAGGATGATGATGAATGAAGAAGAGGATGGGATGAGGATGAAGAAGAGGAAGAAGAAGAAGAGGATGAGGATGATGAAGAAGAGGATGAGGATGAAGAAGAAGATGATGAAGAAGAAGAGGATGAGGATGAAGAAGAAGATGAAGAAGAAGAAGAAGAAGAAGAAGAAGAGAAGAGTGAGGATGAAGAAGAAGAAGAGGATGAAGAAGAAGAAGAAGAAGAAGAAGAAGAGGATGAGGATGATGAAGAAGAAGAAGAAGAGGATGAGGATGATGAAGAAGAAGAGGATGAGGAAGAAGAAGAAGAGGATGAGGATGAAGAAGAGGAGGAAGAAGAAGAGGATGAGGATGAAGAAGAAGAAGAAGAAGAAGAAGAAGAAGAAGAGGATGAGGATGAAGAAGAAGAGGATGAGGATGAAGAAGAAGATGAAGAAGAAGAGGATGAGGATGAAGAAGAAGAAGAAGAAGAAGAGGATGAAGAAGAAGAAGAAGAGGATGAGGATGAAGAAGAAGAAGAAGAAGAAGAAGTAGGATGAAAATAAGAAGAATTCCAGTCCAGCAAAAAGTATCTCTGCAGAGAGCTCCGCTATTTCTGACAGTTCTCTGACAGTTCTTTGACATTTACAGCGGTTGAAACATTGTATCTATTTGTTTCCGAATAAAAACATCTGTATCCTAAATGGAAACAAATAGATACAATGTTTCAACCGCTGTAAATGTGAAGGAACTGTCAGAGAACTGTCAGAAATAGCGGAGCTCTCTGCAGGGACACTTTTTGCCAGCTGTAGAAGGGATGAAAATCAGCCGATTTTTTTTTACCATTGATGGTAACGTCGGCCGCTTTGAACGACCGAATTTTCGTTTTTTAAAAGAAAAATCTGCCGTTTTTTCTCCCCATCTATGGCCTGCATAAGTCTGGTTCAGTAGGTTACACAATGATGGAGAAGACTGCTGACTTGACAGCTGTCCAGAAGACAGTCATTGACACCCTCCACAAGGAGGGTGAGTCACAAAAGGTCATTGCCAAAGAAGCTGGCTGTTCACAGAGTGTTGTATCCAAGCATATTAATGGAAAGTTGAGTGGAAGGAAAAAGTGTGGTAGAAAAAAGTGCACAAGCAACAGGGGTAACCACAGCCTTGACAGGATTGTGAAGCAAAAGCCATTTAAGAGTTTGGGGGAGATTCACAAAGACTGGACTACAGCTGGTGTCAGTGCTTCAAGAGCCACCACACATACTGTAGATGTATCCAGGACATGGGCTAAAACTGTTCCTTGCGTCAAGCCACTCCCAAACCAGAGACAACGATATAAGCGTCTTACCTGGGCTAAGGAGAAAAGGACTAAACTGTTGCTAAGTGGTCCAAAGTCATCTTTTTGAATTAAAGTATATTTTGCATATCATTTTGAAATCAAGGTCCCAGAATCTGGGGGAAGAGTGGAGAGGCACAGAATCCAAGTTGCATGAGGTCCAGTGTGATGTTTCCACAGTCAGTGATGATTTGGGGAACCATGTCATCTGCTGGTGTTGGTCCACTGTGTTTTATCAAGTCCAAAGTCAGTGCAGTTCTCTACCAGGAAATTCTAAAGCATTTCATGCTTCCCTCTGCTGACCAGCTTTATGGAGATTCAGATTTCATTTTCCAGCAGAACTTGGCACCTGCCCACACTGCCAAACGTACCAATACCTGGTTTAATGATCATGGTAGCACTGTGCTTGATTGGGGTTTTCACTAGCTGTAAACCATAATCATCAAAATTAAAAGAAGGAAATGCTTTAAAATATATCACTCTGTGTTTTAATGACTATATATATATACAGTGGGGATTGAAAGTTTGGGCACCCCAGCTAAAAATTTGTATTAATGTGCATAAAGAAGCCAAGGAAAGATGGAAAAATCTCCAAAAGGCATCAAATTACAGATTAGACATTCTTATAATATGTCAACAAAAGTTAGATTTTATTTCCATCATTTACACTTTCAAAACAACAGAAAACAAAAAAATGGCATCTCCAAAAGTTTGGGCACCTAGCAGAATATATAGCATGCACTGCCCCCTTTGCAAAGCTGAGACCTGCCAGTGTCATGGATTGTTCTCAATCATCGTCTGGGAAGACCAGGTGATGTCAAGCTCAAAGGTTTTAAATGCCCAGACTCATCTGACCTTGCCCCAACAATCAGCACCATGGGTTCTTCTAAGCAGTTGTCTAGAAAACTGAAACTGAAAATAGTTGACGCTCACAAAGCTGGAGAAGGCTATAAGAAGATAGCAAAGCGTTTTCAGATGTCAATATCCTCTGTTCGGAATGTAATTAAGAAATGGCAGTCATCAGGAACAGTGGAAGTTAAAGCAACATCTGGAAGACCAAGAAAAATATCAGACAGAACAGCTCGCAGGATTGTGAGAAAAACAATTCAAAACCCACGTTTGACTGCACGATCCCTCCAGAAAGATCTGGCAGACACTGGAGTTGTGGTACACTATTCCACTATAAAGAGATACTTGTACAAATATGGTCTTCATGGAAGAGTCATCAGAAGAAAACCTCTTCTACGTCTTCACCACAAAAATCATCGTTTGAACTTTGCAAATGAACATATAGACAAGCCTGATGCATTTTGGAAACAAGTTCTGTGGACCGATGAGGTTAAAATTGAACTTTTTGGCCAGAATGAGCAAAGGTACGTTTGGAGAAGAAGGGGCACAGAACTTAATGAAAAGAACCTCTGTCCAACTGTTAAGCATGGGGTTGGATCAATCATGCTTTGGGGTTGTGTTGCAGCCAGTGGCACAGGGAACATCTCACGAGTAGAAGGAAAAATAGATTCAATAAAATTTCAGCAAATTTTGGATGGTAACTTGATGCCATCTGTGAAAAAGCTGAAGTTAAAGAGAGGATGGCTTCTACAAATGGATAATGATCCTAAACACACCTCGAAATCCACGGGGGATTACATCAAGAGGCGTAAACTGAAGGTTTTGCCATGGCCTTCACAATCTCCTGACCTCAACATAATTGAAAATCTATGGATAGACCTTAAAAGAGCAGTGCGTGACAGACAGCCCAGAAATCTCAAAGAACTGGAAGACTTTTGTAAGGAAGAATGGGCAAAGATACCTCAAACAAGAATTGAAAGACTCTTGGCTGGCTACAAAAAGCGTTTACAAGCTGTGATACTTGCCAAAGGGGGCAGTACAAGATATTAACTCTGCAGGGTGCCCAAACTTTTGCAGACGCCATTTTTTTGTTTTCTGTTATTTTGAAAGTGTAAATGATTAAAATAAAATCTAACTTTTGTTGACATATTATAAGAATGTCTAATCTGTAATTTGATGCCTTTTGAGATTTTTCCATCTTTCCTTGGCTTCTTTATGCACATTAATACAAATTTTTAGCTGGGGTGCCCAAACTTTCGATCCCCACTGTATATATATATATATATATATATATATATATATATATATGTTATGAGTTTCACTTTTTGAATTGTATTACTGAAATAAAATAACTTTTTGATGATATTCTAATCTGAAATGCATCTGTACGTGCCTCGTACAGAAAATGCATGTATCTAATGAGCAAAACAAGGCTATATTATATTTAATATAAGATATAATAATAATAAATGATACACTGAAAAAAATTGTAAAAACAAAACATATCAACATGATTTGTCAGTCTGATCTCTTCTACTTGCTAATCTAAAGAGACTTTGAAAAGACTATATATATTCAATTAATTTTTTTTTTCTCCGAAGAACATTGCACAACCTTTGCTTTAAGTGCACAATACTGTTGTCTTGCAATTCCTACTGTATTGATCATTCTGCTCAGGTTCCTAGACTGTTAGTTATGAGGAAATGATTTCAGTGAAAATTCACTGAAGTAAAAACTCTCAGTTTCACCCACTGAGCTGCTTTTTGCTTAAAAAAGAAATACTTAGCTTTTAAGTAAAGCAAAAACAAAGTTCACCTTTAGTCTGGGTTCACACTAATGTGGTGCGAGACACCGCATTTAATTTGCACAGGAATCACACCGCATTCCTGTGCGAATTACATGCAATGTCTGTGTGATGCAATTTGAGCCATACATTTTGTATGGCTCAAATCCAAAAAGGTGCAGGACCCTTTTTTTTTTTTTTTTTTTTACCCATACTTGAATTTTATTTATTACAGGTACTTTTATAGCGCTGTCAATTTACGCAGTGCTTTACATCAGGGCTTAAAATATCAAGTCCTGAGCTACTAGCCAGGCCTTAGAGTTACTCGCCACCAACAAACACACACAAACAGAGACACCTGTACACACACACACAGACATGTACATACACATACACACACAGAAACATGTACACACACACAGAGACACATGCACACACACACAAATACAGACACATGTATACACACACAGCCACGTACAGACACGCATACACACAGATATATGTACAGTACATACACAGAAAAACACACGCACAGACACATGTACATACACACAGACACATGTACATACACACAGACACATGTACATACATATACAGACACACGTACGTACGTACATACACACACACACGTACGTACATACACACACAAACGTACATGCACACACACACAGACACATGTACACAGATACATGTACACACACACATACATATATGTACATACACACAGACACATGTACAAATACACACATGTACATACTGTCAGGAATGGACTCAGCACTGGTGGTGGGACTCACCTGCCGTGTGGGCTGCAGTACCAGGGCTGACCAGCGGGTGCTCTCAGCAACCAGAAGCTCACTCCTGCAGTCGGCCATCAGCTGAAGCTGATTGCAGGAGGTGTATTTAAGTAGGACCAGGCCTGTGATCAGGGCCTTGGTGTATGTTTCCCATGAGCCCCTGTACCTGGTATCCTGTGTTCCTGCCTAGTTGCTGACCCTGCTTTGATCCTGACCTCTGCTGACCGTCTCCTGTTGAACCCCTGGCTTGCCTGACCATCCTTCTGCCTGATCCTCTGTACCGTGCTGCCCGTGAGTTACTGAACCCAGCTTGTGACCCTGACTATTCTCTGCCTGCTCCTCCGGTACCTCACTGCCCGCACGTTGCTGACCTGGCCTGCCTGACGCTACCCAGACGATCCATCCATCCCGCACGGATCCAGTCACTACTGTCCAAACCTGCCAGCCCCTTCACATCAGGCTTTCCCTCAGTACATACCCTCGGCGGACCCCTCTACCAGAGTTGGGTGCACTCAGGGGCCGCGACCTGATCTCAGTCCTGTGCCATCCCCACCATCAGGGGCTCTGGTGAAAAGGCAGACTGGGGCTTAGACTCCGCGCCCTGGGGAATCCTGTTCTGTGGGTCACTAGAGATCCCGCCGGGCGGTGCCTGACGGTACCTTACGGCCTGCCTGACCATTCCACCTCTCCAGCCTGACTACGCCTGTGTTCCTGAAGCCTGCTACTTCCCTGTGTCAGTCCACACATTTCTGGTCATACCCGGATCTCTAACACATACACACAGACACGTACAATTGTACATGCATACACAGACACACAGAAACATACACACATGTACACGTACACACACACACCACACACACACCCATAAAAAGTTGCAGTACTTTGTCGTTCACTCACAGAGCCGGGTACTGCACTCTAGGGGGAGGCAGAGAGCACAGCACACACTCCTTGCTTTGCTTTCACTGCGCTCCGCTATTGAGCAGTCTGACGGCTCCCAGTGCCAATGACAGATCTGGCCAGAGCTCCGAGCCTGCTCAGCGAGATGGCCCTGGGGGACACATTCGCCCCCACCATAATTTCCACTCACCATTGCCGAGCAGGCGAGTGGAAATTTCAAGCCCTGGTTTAGACCCAAACATTTTGCTAACTGTCGAACTGCGGGAGTGATATATCTACTTCTTTGTGAATGTGGCTGTTTCTATGTGGGCAAGACAAAGTTGGAATTTTGGAGGCAAGGCTATAGACACATTAAAAGCATGTGCATGGGTGATCCCCAATTACCTTTGGGATACCATACTCTTGTAGCATATAATGGTCAATTTACCAAAATTAAATTTCTTATTCTCGACCGGGTACATCCAGGTCATAAAGGGGGTAACTGGAATAAGCTGTTGTTGCAGTTGGAGCTTACTGTAGATGGATTTTCAATCTACAGGCTACTTCCCCCCCCCCGGCCTGAATGAATCAGTCAACTTCAGGCCTCTTTACAAGGTTTTTGTTTCTGGTGGTATGGAAAAATAAGATTCACTATATGCCTCCTTTTATCCATGTGTTTTTTTTGCCCATTTACACTGCCGTGTTTGACATTTCACTTTATATTTAATATAGTGCTGCATGAATGCCTTATAAGTGTAGTGTATACCTTTTCATTATTTTGTACCCATATTTAAGATCTTTCTGGCTCTTGTTATTATTTTTTTATTTTGTATCTTATGTATTTTTATATTTTTTTGTATGTTTATATATTGTTTCGATATATGCAGTGTACATAATATAAAATTGATGATATGGATGGCTCTGTCTTGGCTGCCTCCCTGGTCGGGGGGTTTGGTGGAAACCTAATTCGGGTCCTTGGTCCCTCTATCTTCGTGCCCGTCACGCTGAGGCTGCACCACCTGGACTTTGGCCTGGTGAGTGAAGCCCTGCATGTGCGCTGTGGGGCTCTGGCTTCTGCACCCAGTGGCCGTGCTCTCTTTCAACATGTCGTTGGTCCGCCGATGCGTGAGGACACTCCACACGACGTGGCATGGTGCCGCTGCGCACACCGGTGTTGCGGGGGGTGGTTCCCAGCAGCACTTGCAATGGAGGCAGCTTGGGTTTGGCGTTTGGATGCCATTTTCTCCGTCTGCCTCCTTGGAAGCTGTTAATCACTGCCAGAGGATTGGATGAACCTCTTGATGAGATCCATATATAATTGAGTTTCAATTTTCATACCTGAATACTCCCTGCATCTGTGAGCTAATGTGGACTCTTCCGGATTACTTCATAGTGGTTCCTCCTGTTTTCATGGTGAGCACCATGCAGATTTTCTCTATCTACTAGAAACATTTTCCCGTTTTTCCTGTCTTTTCTTGGAAATGAGTAGTTATATACTTGTTTTCTTTTCCTGCTAGATTATCAGTTTTTCCAGTGACAGTACCTGAAAAGATTCATGTGGTCTAATTGGACATATATCTCTGAAGACTCATATCTATACATTCTTCAGTGTACCTGGCTAGATGTGGTGGAGGTCCCTAAATATCAAGATGCTCACATATACAATGGTGGATTCCACCCAGAGGGGTTAAAACGTTTTGTTTTTATTGTATAAATTCCATTTTGGAGATGCTTCTTATTACTAAAATCCTCTGTTTGCAGTGATGGGGGGGGCCCTTGTGATTTATTTTTTGGTGAGCCCTGGGTACCCAAGACCTTCTCTGGCTTGTGAGATGGTGGCAGACTGAAGCCTTGGTTTTAAGTTTGGTTGAAGATTAATTAATGTCTTCTCACTCTTCTATATTGTGAGTAGAGACTGGGAATCACAAAATGTATTGCCAATTGACTCAAGTAATGCTCTAAAAAAATATATTTTCAATTGTGTAGATCATATCACCCCTATGCAGAGTTCTCTTTTCCCTGAGGAAGGAGTGAAATCACTCCGAAACGCATTTTATGTATGCAAATTGTTCCTGCAATTCTTTCAAAATAATATGTTTTGACAGTGATGTTATATTATGATCAGAAATGTTTTTTATGTATGGTTATACAAAACATTGTTGTTACTAAACAAATAGCCTTGACGGTGATGTCACAATATAATCTCAGATGGCGTTACATCATCATTTCTATGTGTGTAAATTTCACAAAATAAAGATCTTAAATTTTTAACTCAATCTATGTATCTATGCCTTTAAAGTCCCAACTAATTCAAGGGTACCTTTATTTATATTGAACTTCATACTTCGGGGATGGTGGCTATCTATCAGGAAATTTTTTCTCCCTTTGCCTCTGAACAAAAAAGACCACCTATACAGCAGCACCTTGAATGGGAGAGGAAGATAAAGGGTGAAGCTTTGAATTTCGAAAGGGAAGGGTGAGTGACTATTATCATTGGTGAATAATATAATATCTGTGCCTCAATTGCAAAGTAATGAAATTAATAAAAGGGTCAGACATTAATTGTAAAAAGGAAAAGGAGTGGGGTCACCCAGTGGGGAACGAACGAGGAGTGAGAAAACAATATGGGAAGACCGATCTATAACATATGATATATAGGCCCAGGGAAGAGAACACCTGCATAGAGTTTTAACCGAGGACAATTCGGAAATTATTGTAGTGGATTGAAGCTGGAAGGAGAATCTATTAATAATATGAGGAGTAAAACTGCAAAAGGGGGTGGGACATAAACCCCCCAGTTAGGCTCAGTAAGAAAATATGTACCCCCCCAGGAGAAAAGTCCTGAGGGGCATACCCCAGAGAGACAATAGGAAGCAAAGAGAAGTTGTGAGTCGAGAAATAATACTGGAAACCAAACCAGATCATCATTAGGGGGATCAAATTTAAATCAGATTGAAGAATGAATAAATAATGAATGTGAAATAGATCTTGGAGACACTGAAGAGCAGGGACTAAAATCGCAAATGCTGACAAAAATGGATATGGTAGAGATGTTGGCGAACCTTGAGTATTATATAAAAAAACGAAATGGCTGTATTACACAATGATCTGGGGCAGGTCCTGTCATGAGTTGAAGAAACAGAAGGAAAACTAGAGAAAAAAGTGCAAGTAATTATTAACCAGCTCGTCCCTTTGGGTGGACATCCCTTCAGACATGCGCAGTGGGCCTGCCCGCAGGGCTGCTATGCGGTGCGATCTGTCACTGGCCATGTACCTCGGACACGGCCGATGACAGATCTGTGTACCGGACCCGTTGCCAGTACCATGTGACTTGCTGTGACCAATCACAGCAGGTCACATGACAGTTGTATACAATGGATGGCTTCCTTTCATGCCATCCATTGTATACAAGTGTGTCTAGCTGTGAATGGTCACAGCGATCACATGCACAAGCTGGGCCAATCACAGCACAGCTGTGTCATGTAAATAGCCGTGGCCAAATCACAGCTAAGCACAAAAAAAAAACCCTGAATGAATCGATGTCATTCAGGTAAATGCTTGCTTATAGCAAAGTAATTCTTTGCTATAAGCAAATTGTGTAAAAAAAGAAAATACTCTTCCACAAAGTAGTACAATGTTACTATGGTAACATTATAATACTTTGGTCATAGTGAAATATGAAAAACAAATCTTACAAAAAGAGAAAAAATGTAATAAAAAATGTAAAACTAATAAAAAAAAAATGTAAAAGAATTTTTAAAAAGTTATCAAATTTTTTTTTTTTGTACTGTCACCAGTCAGTGTCCCTGATCACCGCCATGCCAGTTATATGATGACGCTGTACTGCACTGGTGACAGTATGTAAAAAAAAATTGTGAAAATAATTTTTTCTTTTTTTCATTTTCTGAAAAATTATGACACAAAATTACAACTTCAAAAAACTCGCCATGCCTCTTATGAAATACTTACAGTTGCAAGAAAAAGTATGTGAACCCCTTGGGATTTTGTGGAGTTTTGCATGAATTGGGCATAAAATGTGCTCTGAACGTCATCTAAGTCACAACAATAGAAGAACACAGTCTGCTGAACATAATACTACACAAACATTAGATGTTGCCATGGTTTAATTGCACATACATGTAAACATTCACAGTGCAGGGAGGAAAAAGTATGTGAGGCCCTAGCTTAATGACTTCTCCTAGAGTTAATTGGAGCCAGGAGTGAGCCGATCTTGACTCCAATCGGTGTGATGATATTGAATGTGTTGCTGACAGCTGTCCTGCCCTTAAAAAACACACACCTGTTTTGGGTTTACTGGTTTCAAGAAGCACTGTCTGATGTGAACCATGCCTCGCAGAAAAGAGCTATCAGAAGACCTACGATCAAGAATTGTTGACTTGCATGAAGCTGGAAAGGGTTAAAAAAGTATCTCCAAAAGCCTTGATGTTCACGTGTCCACGGTAAGACAGACTGTCTACAAATGGAGAAAGTTTAGCACTGTTGCTACTCTCCCTAGGCGCGGTCGTCCTGTAAAAATAACTGCAAGAGCACAGCGCAGAATGCTGCATGAGGTAAAGAAGAATCCCAGAGTGTCAGCTAAAGACCTACAGAAATCTCTGGCACATGCTAACATTTTTGTTGACACATCTACAATAAGGAATACATTAAACAAGAATGGAGTACATGGGAGGACACCACGGAGGAAGCCATTGCTGTCCAAAAAGAATATTGCAGCACGTTTGAAGTTTGCAAAAGAGCACCTGGATGTTCCACAGCACTACTGGCAAAATATACTGTGGACAGATGAAACCAAGATTGAGTTGTTTGGGAAGAGCACACAACACTACTGTGTGGAGAAAAAAAGGCACAGCACACCAACATCAAAACCTCACCCCCTCTGTAAAACATGGCGGAGGGAGCATCATGGTTTGGGGCTGCTTTGCTGCCTCAGGGCCTGGACGGATTGTGTCATTGATGGGAAAATGAATTCCAGAGTTTATCAAGAAATTTTGCAGGAAAACGTACGACCTTCTGTCCACCAACTGAAGCTCCGCAGAGGGATGGGTGATGCAACAGGACAATGACCCAAAGCATACAAGTAATTCAACAAAACAATGGCTGCAACAGCACAGAATACGCCTTCTGGAGTGGCCCAGTGTGAGTCCTGACCTCAACCCGATTGAAATGCTGTGGCATGACCTTAAGAGAGCGATTCACACCAGACATCCCAAGAATATTGCTACACTGAAACA